TTAAAAAGATTAAGTCATTAAGGTATGAAAATAGAATTACCATACATATTTGGGTATATATAGAATTGGGAGAACTTGTTATTCTTCATTAAAATTATGAATATATACATTATATAGATACAGATAACAACTTCGAAAGATAGTTTGAGGTAGATAATAAGAATGGTGGGTGTAACAATAGCTTAATTTAATTAAAATAATTAGGAACATTTGCACTAAATAACACTAAAACTTAAATCATTTTCCTAAATAACACTTGAATTATTTTATTCCCTAAATAACACTTAATAATGTCCAAAAGGAGGAATAATGTCTAGTGATGACGAACATTTACTTGAATAATGACTAATGGATAATTACTAAAAGTGCTACATTGGGAAAAACACACGTATGATCCTATTTAAGAAAAATCATTATATTTTAGTGTCATTTACGTAAATTGTCCAAATAATAAACCTAAAAACATAAAATACGATTAAATAATACAAACATACAAAAACTCAAAATAAAAATAAAGGAAACCAAAAAACATAAGAAACAGAAATATTTTTAAAAAAAAATCAAAAATAAAATAGTTAAGAACTAAAAATAAAAAAGGAAAGAAGGAAGAGATGAGAAAGGAAAAAAATAGACCACAAAAGTCGACATCAGAAGACAATAAATATAGTTTTAAATAAATAAATTAAGACAATAAATATTATTTTAAATAAATAAATGTTATAAAGATTTAAAATATCAAAAGTTAACTACTCCCTCCGTCCAAGTTGAAACTTCTCGTTTGTTTTAATGTAAAGTGAAAAATGAGGAGACTTTCCTCTTTTGCCCTTCACTTTTTTGGTTATTCACCCATTACATTCTCAGTTCCAGCGGTCCAGCTAATGCGTCCACCCCCCTACCCCCACGCCCTCTTCTTCTCCTTCTTCGTTTGTTCTGCTTTTTTTCTGTTCTTCTACTTTCTTCTTCTTCTTCACATCCCGACAGACCCCCCCCCCCTCACCCCTCTTATTTTTCTTCTTCTTTAACTTCATTAATACAGAGTATCTAAATAAAAAAATTAAATCTAAGGTCATGCCATAAAAACAATAAAAATCTAGATGTCAAATCTAAGAAATTGAACAAATAAAAATCAAATCCAAGTTTCAAATCAAGGATATGAAACTATCAAAAATAAAATCTAGATTTCAAATCTGGGAATTGAAGAATTAAAAATCAAATCTAAAATTCAAATCCAAGAAATCGTAGGAAGAGTAAAAAGAAGGAGAAGATGGAAACGGGGGCTGGGTGGTGGGAAGAAGAAGATGAAGAAGAAGAGGGGGGGGAGGTCTAAAACACAAAAAAGAAGGGGGAAGAGATTTGACGCGGGAAAAGAAGAAGGGAAAGGGTTGAGGAAGAATAAGGGGGGAGGGGATTTGATGTGCGAAAGAAGAAGAAGAAAGAAGAACAAGGGAAAAAAAAAAGAAAAAGGGAATGGGGGAGAGAAAGTAAATGAAAGGGTATATTGGTAACTTCAAATGTATGTTAATTCCATTTTAGGAAATGAGAAGAATCAAGTGGGACAGCCCAAAAAGGAAAGTGAGAAGAAAAATATGGGACGGAGGGAGTACATCTTAAAATAAATTCAATTATACGAAATTCACATTATAACTAAAAATTTCTTTCATCCCACAAAACTTTTCTTCTTTGAAAAAATATAGGATGTAATAAATATGTGATTTTGGTACTGTGTTATTACAATATAATTTTGCCCCTTATAGTAGGGTCGGATAGAAGTTACGTGATAAAATAGATTAGCAGTGAAAAAATATGATACTATGATATGATGTGATTGACAGATAATAGATTAATACTCCGTAATTAGTATGAATAAAAAGAAGATTTTGATTAAAAAAAGAAGTGTTCTTTGAGAAGAAAGAAAATACAAAATAGAAAAATTTTTAGAAAGAGAGAGAGAATATATTTTTTTTAATAATTTGTAATCAAATTTTATAAAACCTGATCAAAAATTTACTTGTACTCCGTACAAAGAAAACATTTATATGAGACGGAGTAATAACAACAGAATATTTAAAAAAAATATGTGGTCTACAACATTTCTTTCTACTTTAAATAAATTTTAGCCACTGGTTTTTTACTGTTCAACATCTTTTCGATAGTTTTCAAATTAAGAATTTCTTTTTCTATTTTTCTATTGTGAGGCATATATATGGACTATGGAGTATTTCTTTACGGTGGGGGCAAACAATATTATGGAGTATATCATGTCATAATTAGTGTATCACAAATTTTGCCGGCCACCAGTCCAAAATCAACTCCTACACCCACATATGATCCCGGTAAGCAAATGGCCAAATGCTATTGAGATGAACATTTTGCCTTCTTTTATTTAGAAAACAAACCTTTTTTATATGTAAGAAAGAGAGCCCACGATTATTTTTTTTTGCAGACTTTAAGTGCACCATAGAAGCACTCCACTTAGAGCATGTTTTTTTCAACTTATTCTTATTACTCCGTACTTATTACTTATTCTTATTAGAATCTATTTAGATCAAGTTACATCAAATCAGAAACAGCTTTAAATATATTTACATTTAGATAAGACCAGATCAAGACCATATCAGAACTTATTCCAATCAGATCAAATTTATTCAAAACATATACGAGATTTCATGTATAAGAGTTCTGAGAATGGTTCTAAGACAACTATGTTTAATATAGAGTCTCTTGAAGTACACTTCACGCTTCACCCATTATGAAGGGGATGGGAGGGAGAGAAATTAAGGGGTGGTCTGTTTCAGACTCTTAATGGTTCAGATGTCTGAATGGTTCAGCACTTAATGGTTCAGACTGTTTGTTTCAGCTTCTTAATGATTCAGATGTTTGAATGGTTAAGAGATTTGCCTCTGAACGGTTAAGTATTATACAGAGTCTGAATGGTTAAGACCTCTTATCTGAATTGATCACACATCTGCCTCTGAATAGTTAAGCAATATACTAGCTTTTAATTATTCAGACCTCTTACTGGTTCAGCACTTACCTATTCAGAAGTTGCCAAACAACCCCTAAATCTCTTCTCTTGTTAGGTTTTAAAAAATGAAGAGGAGGCATTCCAAAATTTTAACTTGAAATTCTTGGAGGGTTTCTAAACTCCCCACTCTTCTTCCGCTAATTTTCTCTCCATCTTGTTACTAAAAATAAATTCCAAATAATTAATATTATAGAACTGTGAAAATAATAATAATAATAATAATAAATAAAATATATAGAGTAATAAATAAAATAAAAATAAAACAAATTAAAATATTGTTTAAAATAAAAAAATAATAATAAATACTCCCTCCGGTCCTAAAAACCTTAATTTTTAGGTTTAAAAATAAAAAAATGTTTAATTTATGGTCTAAAAGTGTCACCATTTGACAAAAAATCAAAACAGGAAAAGTTTATAGGACCGGAAGAAGTAATAATAATAAAATAATATAAAATAAAAATAAAAAATATATTCTATAATTATAAAATACCAAAATAATTATTAGTATTATAAATGAATAAATAAAAGTATTAAATTAATAAAAAAATATAATTGAAAATACAACAACAACCCAGTTAAATCCCACAAGAGTAGGGTTTGGGGAGGGTGTGTGTACGCAGACCTTGCCCCTACTCGAAAGTAGAGAGACTGTTTCCAAAGAGACCCCCGGCTCAACGTCGAAAGTTGCATTGCTTGACTAATTGCTACTTCATTAATTAAAAAAGCGCAAACAGTTTAGAGATCCATTTTGATTTATTCCATCACACCCCAAAGCCAAAAAATGGTGAAATTTTGGCTCCATCGGAGATGATGGAAAGAATTGAAAATAAAGAATATAAATTAAAAAAAAGTAAATAAATATATTTTGATAATGATAATACTTCGCAATAATGATAATAATAGTGATAACAACAACAACAACAAGAATAATAATAATAATAATAATAATAATAATAATAGTAATAATAATAGTAATAATAACAATAATACTACTAATATTAATATTACTAATATAAATCAAAAAAATAAATAAATGGAATTAATATAAATATTGAAATAAATAATAAATTCATAAATAAATAAATATGTAAAATAAAATTTTAAATATAAAAAATAAAACAAAAAATGAATGATTTCCGTCCATTCTTCCAACGAAACACAGTAAAGGAAGGTCCTCCCATCCTTTCCTTCCCTTCCCCTCCCCACCCTCCCCCAACCAAACTGGCCTTAAAGCTCAATTTATCTCTTTTCATATCACTTCGACCCTTCCGAACGATTTTAAGAGGGCCCTCGGGGATAAAGATCAATTCTATTTTTTTTTTCTGGCAATGGTCTCAAGCTAAGTCACAACCCACCACTCCATCTCATCATTGGAGGGAAGAAATAAGAGATTTCCCACTTTGGGTGGATATTGAGTTGCCCACTTACATTCTTTGTTACTTTTATCCCTGAAAACATCATGGTTTGATTTTCATCAAATTTTATTCAAATTATTGACAACTACTCTCTCCCTTGCACAAAACCCTTCCGATTTTGACTTTGGGGAAAAATAAGAAAAGTGTAATTTTAGTTAACTTTCTAATTTTGCCCCTGATGTGATGGGAAAAAGTAAGATGTGATAGTTTGGTTATTAGTGAAAAGTATGATGTGATATGTAAGGTATGAAAAAGCAGGGATAAAAGTGATTTTTTTAATAGAAAGTGGAAGTGTTTTGTGGAAAGCAAAAAAAACGAAAGAGAAAATGTTTTGTGGAACGGAAGGAGTAATTTGTTTATTTGAGTGAATTTCAATTATTTATGAGCTGCATATTTATTCCTTAGAAGAAAATAAAGTGTGATTGTCAAATTAGCAGGGAGCTAGCTACCTTTCATTTGCCGGCTGGTGAGAAATTCACACCCCCCCCCCCAAAAAATAAAACCATCCCACCCCTGCCCCTATATATATATAATACTTCGTACTTAGTAACAACCCTGTCTAGTGCATGCTCCTAATTTAAACATGAAATTGAAAGTCTTTGTGTTAGAGTGTGTTGTTCTCCTCATCCTTGTATCCTCTCTTATAGGAGAATCGTGTGCTACTAAGGATGTTCGTGTGATGACAGAAAACGGTAACGGAGTTTATATCGTTTACCTGGGCGCTGTTGGGGCAGCAGCGACTTCGTTGAATGACGCCGTTAAAAAAGATCAGCAAGCAGCTCGCCTATTCAGCTCCCTCCTTAAAGGGTATACATACATTCTTAATTTAGTTGAAGTTTGGAATCCGATAATTAGAACATGAAATTTGTGGTCTAAAAATTACTCCCTCAGTCGCATATCTAACCTGTATTAGGAAGACGAATGCATTGGTGCATAGCTACACAAATGGATTCCTGGGATTCGCAGCCCGGTTAACGGAGGACGAAGCCCAATCCATTGCTCGAGAGCCCGAGGTTGTGTCAGTTTTCCCTGACCCAATCCTCCAACTCCACACCACCCGCTCATGGGATTTCTTGAAGTCCTCCGCTGATCATTCATGGGATAGGCCATCATCATCATCATCATCCACTGGAACCGACACCATCATAGGCATCTTGGATACAGGTCATCTTATGTGTATAGTAATGCGTGGCCTCCTTTTTCTACAAAAAAAAATGTTGTGTGAGGCACATAAAAATATAACCATGTACAAGTTGACCTACTCTTATATGTAGGAATATGGCCTGAATCGGCTAGTTTCAACGATGACGGCATGGGACCCATCCCGGCCCGGTGGAAAGGAGCATGCGAAGATGGCATCGATTTCAATTCTACCCTCTGCAACAGGTACCTATCTAAAAATAAAACATGAAACTGCGCTTAAGTATCATCAAACTTAAATGGATCATCACTAATAACATTTATTTCCATCATCTCCGATGGAGCCAAAATTTCACCATTTTTTGGCTTTGGGGTGTGATGGAATAAATCAAAATGGATCTCTAAACTATCTGCGCTTCTTTAATTAATGAAGTAGCAGTTAGTCAAGCAATGCAACTTTCGACGTTGAGCCGGGGGTCTCTTTGGAAACAGCCTCTCTACTTTCAAGTAGGGGCAAGGTCTGCGTACACACACCCTCCCCAGACCCTACTCTTGTGGGATTTAACTGGGTTGTTGTTGTTGTATACATGCACGTCACGCTTACAAAATTTTGAACTACACAGACAGATATTGTTTTGTCTGTGTAGTTCAAAATTTTGCATGCAGTGTAGGTGTGATTACATGTACCATTTCCCTGATTATGATCAGGAAAATTATTGGGGCGAGGTACTATTTGGGCTCAGATGGGAGTCAATCAAAAGGGTCGGCGAGGGACCAAAATGGGCATGGGACCCACGTTGCCTCCACAGCAGCAGGCTCCCGTTCCTCGAATGCATCATACTATGGCCTTGCTTTAGGGGTCGCCGATAGTGGTTCCTCGGCTTCAAGAATTGCCGTATACCAAGTGTGTTCCGTTATGGGAGGTTGCCTAGGATCTTACATCTTGAAAGGCTTTGATGATGCTATGAGGGATGGGGTGGATGTGTTGTCACTGTCTGTAGGAGGTGAGGAAGGGATAAAACCGGATTTCTCAAGAGACCCCATCGCCATTGGTTCCTTCCATGCTATGGAGAGAGGTATTGTTGTTGTCTGCTCCGCGGGGAACAGTGGTCCGGACCCGAGCACTCTCGTGAATGATGCTCCGTGGATCTTCACTGTGGCCGCTTCCACTATTGACCGTGATTTCGAATCACATATCATTTTGGGAGGGGGTAATAAGAATGTGATTAAGGTGAATAAGCATGAATTGCTTTAATCATTTCAAGATAATGTATGCTAAGGAACCAAACCAAAAGCTCAAACTTGTGGTTGGAGGCTAATGAAATATTTTACTCTAATGATATATGTACAAAACTTTATCTCTTGTATAGGGTGGAGGCATTCAATTTAGCAAACTTGAGAAAACACCTATGTACCCATTGGTCATGGGAGCCATGGCTAAATGGGAGAATGCTTCTGAAAGCAATGCAAGGTATTATTATTAGAGTATCCAATGAAGGTTCAAAGATAGTGGATGTATTCACTGATGGGGAGGTTGTGTTCAAATATAGGGAATGCATCGAACACTCGTTAGACCCTGCAAAGGTGAAGGGCAATATCATTCTATGTGAATACAAACGCATAGGGTACCCTAATATGCATAGGGTGGATGTGGTTCAAGAGGCTGGTGGAGTGGGAATAATAGAAGTAGTCAGTGATGACAATAGGTTTGAGGCACCCAAGTTTGAAACTTTTCCAGGGTCTATAGTCACAAAAAGGGAAGCCAATGACATTCTCACATATATTAACTCCACCAAGTAATTATTTACATAGTAATTTGACTTTTCTTGTGTGTTTATAGACCTTATTTATCTATCTACAATGACTTTAATTTTGTTTTTTTTTGTAAATTTTAGGAGCCCAATAGCAACAATCCTTCCAACTGTGACAACATTAGGGTATAAACCCGCCCCAGTTGTGATCTTCTTTTCATCAAGGGGGCCATCTCTTGCCAGCCATAACATTCTCAAGGCATGTATAAGATACTAACATGTATAGAAGATAAAATTGGAAATATAACAAAATTCATGTGCATTTTTTGCTTTTTTTTTGAGAAGTGCAGCCAGATATTAGTGCACCTGGTGTTGACATTCTAGCAGCTTGGCCAGACGTTACAGATGATGATTACTTGGGCGGGGCCACAATCCCTGGCATGAACCCTCCCAGTTACTACATACAGTCGGGAACTTCAATGTCCTGCCCGCATATATCCGGAATTGTGGCTTCGGTCAAAGCACACAACCCGACATTTAGTGTATCTGCAATTAGATCCGCTGTTATGACCACAGGTAATGATGGAATTTATGGTTAGCTAAGAATCACTCAACCAGCTCATAAGACACTTTGACTAAACCAGAGTAAAAAAATTGAATCCAATCGACTATCTAGTTTAACTCAAGGCCGTATTAACCCAATATTCTTTCTGTAGTTTTCCTATATGAGACATTTTAACAGGTAACAACATAAACTGACCCAATTGAGGTGTGCGCCTGATTTTTTCTGCAGTATATGTATATATCATTAATAAAAGGCTAAACTTATTGACTGCAACAAATCCAGTAAAACAAGTACATGCACTTGATTTTCTTTCGTTATTCATAAATTCAAGTGCGCGCATTGAAAAAAAGTGAGCTACCCAGTGGAGCATTAGTGAATGTAACATCAATCATTACTGACCTCAAATTTTGTTGTGAATCCGCCTACAGCCATACAGAAAAACAATATGAATGCCCCGATAACAACATCATCTGGGTCAATTGCCACACCGTATGACTTTGGGGCGGGACAAGCAAGCCCAGTGGCAGCATTAGAACCAGGACTAGTTTACGAGACTGAGGCTGCAGATTATGTGTTATTCCTCTGCGCTACTGGCTATAATACATCCCAAGTTAGGCTCATCTCATCAACAATAACAAAAGACTTTGAGTGCCCTGAAGATCTGTCTCCAGACACGATCTCGAACATCAACTATCCTTCCATAGCCATCTCCAAACTCAATCAGGGCAAAACTAAGACAGTCACCAGAATTGTGACTAATGTTGGTGATAAGGAATACTCGGTGTACACCGTGGCTATCGAGGCATTGTCTGGGATAGAGGTGACAGTGACCCCAAACAAATTAGTATTTACTAAAGACAGGAAGAAGGTATCTTACAATGTAACTTTCATGGCTAGATCAACACCAAATAAAGACATCTTCAGCTCAATTACATGGAGAAGCGGTAAGTACATTGCTCGAAGCCCAATTGTTGTTAGCACTTAGTAACACAAAAACACATGTTGCAAGATGACATCTACATTGTTCATAGAAGAATATTAAGAAGATAAACGTTTGGGAATCCAAGAACTGCTTTCATTACTTTAGATCTTATTTAAGTAGCAAGTTTTGTTAGCTTGATACTATTAAGAAAGAATGTGTTTGATGTTTGCATGAATATATGTTTGATACTATTACGAAAGAATGTGTTTGATGTATGTATGAAAACATAGGATAAGATTTTCATATGTATACAGTGAACTATTTGTGTGTTCAATAGCCGATGCAAACTTTATTGGAATAGTCAACGCAATGCACATGAGGTTTGTGCATCAATTTTGTATCTAGTAAAAAAGAATGAACCAGCTGTTAGATTTCATCGTATTGTTTAATTCCTGGCCATAAGTTAGTTAGTTTAGATTTGAATTTTAAAAATAAAAGGGACAGTTTTTGGTAGTTTTTGGGTAGTTATTTCTGGAAGTTATAGGTAGTTATTTCTAGAAGTTGTATTAATTAGTAATAGATGTGTTGATTGGTACTAATAGTTGTGTTGGTTGCTGTCTATAAATACTCCAGGAACATAGAATTCATATATGTAGTTCACAATAAAAAAATCAGAACTCTATTCTGCATTTGATTTGTTCTTCCTATTATTTTCCTACAATTGGTATCGGAGCGTGTGCGATCATCAGCAAGAAAAGGGAGATTTGCCTTGACAACAGATCAAAATCTTCGACAAGATTCTTCCTCGCCTAGGACAAGAATAGCAAGTGGCTAGTTTTTTCCTTTGGCAGAAGCATTCCAACCAAACAGTGCGTGAAAAACGAATCAGCGAGGAAGCTTTCGTTTAGTGGCTTGGAAGACAGAAAAGCAGGGGCTTGTTTTCTGGTTGGTGGTTGATTGCAGGTGGCTTACAACCCGGGAAGGAATCGAAGTTAAGAATTTTGTGAAAATTGTCAAAGGAATTAAAGTCGTGCAATGGAAGACAACAGACAGATTGTGACTACAAGGGAAAATAGTTCACTATCTTTTCAGGAACTGAAATCGATCTAAAGAAGAACAATATGGCAATAGCATATTTGTTTCAAGCTTTGTCAGAAGAGATCGTACTACAAGTTGCTCAGTTTACGGAAGCAAAAGAAATTTGGGATGCTTTGAAGGCTCGCTTCGTTGGTGTTGACAGGGTTAAAGCGGCGCGATTACAGACACTCGAATCAGATTTTGAGACTCTAAAGATGAAGAACAATGAGTCACTTGATGATTTTGCTGGTAAAATTAGTCAACTTGCAACACAAGCAAACAACCTTGGGTCTGCGTTTGAAGACAAAAGATTGGTTCGAAAGCTTTTGGGTTCTGTGCCTGAAAAGTTCACACAAATTGTTGCTGCAATTGAACAGTTTGCTGACATTAACACAATGCCGTTTCAAGAAGCGGTGGGCAGATTGAAAGCATTCGAGGAACGCATCAGAAAGCCAACTGAGGAAGGAGATACACATGGTAAACTACTATTCACTAAAGGTGATGGAAAAGAGAAGGTTCAGGAGCAGAAATGTGAGCATTGTGGTTGCTGGAGCTCAAACCGAGAAGACTTTGGACGTGGCCGAGGTAGAGGTCGGGGGTCCGGGAAAGGTCAGGATGGTGGTCAGTTTCAGCGGGATAAGAGTCACATTAAGTGTTTCAAGTGCAATAAGTTAGGACATTTTTTGAACGAATGTCCAAAATGGGATCAAAAGGAAGACATTGCAAATTTGATTGAAAATGATGATGAACCAACGTTATTGTGAAGATTGGTGTGAACAAACAACGATTAGGGGGGTGATTGTTAGATTTAATCGTATTGTTTAATTCCTGGCCATAAGTTAGTTAGTTTAGATTTGAATTTTAAAAATAAAAGGGACAGTTATTTCTAGAAGTTATAGGTAGTTATTTCTAAAAGTTGTATTAGTTAGTAATAGATGTGTTGATTAGTACTAATAGTTGTGTTGGTTGCTGTCTATAAATACTCCAGGAACATAGAATTCCTGTATGTAGTTCACAATTAAAAAAATCAGAACTCTATTCTGCATTTGATTTGTTCTTCCTATTATTTTCCTACACTAGCTACTCCCTGAGAGTCCCTCCCAAGAATGGTGAGACAGTAGCCCGGGAGGAGAAAATTTGAGCTTTCTTTTTTTCTCTGAGATATTTCTCTGGAATCAAATCAAGGCATGTGATATTAAATGGATCATTGGTTTTGAGAACTGCAACCGGGTATTACTGCACCTGGAGTTAACATTCTAGCAGCTTAGCCTGATGATGATCAATCTGGAAACCATAGTTCTCCACTTCTCCAAGTTACAATATAATCTCGGGCACAACTATGTCCTATCCGCATATATCAGGGCTTGCTGCCGCAGTCAAGGCACACAACCCAATGTTTAGTGTACTGGCAATAAGATCTGCTATTATGATCACATGTAACAATATGTCTTATTCTGATACAAAACCATGTGTTTGTTAGTTTACTCGTGTATGTATGCATATACACAATCCCTCCTCCCATAAGGCCATAATTTTCTTCCTGCTTTGACTTGAAAGACTAACTAAGATATACAAATGTCTGGTTGAGATTTATTAATCAAGGAAAGAACCCATACCGGCCAAAAAAGAATTTCTTTGAAAGAAAAGGAGAATACTTTTTTAACAAGTCAAAAAGGAACTAGGAAGAAAACTATGCTACTGAGGGTGTGTGTGAGAAAAAGGCTTGAGGGCCAACCAGAATGAGTATGATATCAGCTTTTTATGGGCAGTTCAACCAGCAGGTCTTTTTAGAATCTTTTTATGGATTGATGGGTGTGGAAGGGAAGGCTTAAGGGCTTTGTCAAATAAATAGAATGTTTCTAAAAATGAATAAAAGAGTATGAAAACTTGTACAATCGCGGTTAATCTTTCAGTTTTATATAATATTTCAAAATTTAAAAAAACAAACTATGGACTATGCCTTCAAGATTCTTCCCCCCAAACCCATCTAATACATTCCACCCTAACAGTCCTCTTTAAGTGTTTGGAACTACAAATCTAAGCCATGACATTGAGAAAATTCGAAGCCCGCTTGCGCATTAAATGGCATGCTATTACATGGAACCCACGACATTGGGAAAAGCCTTTAAGGGCATCCGCAATGTTGATGTTAGAATACTAAAAAAAACTTTCCTGGGCCACAACCAAGAACTTCAGCTTTTGGTTGAGTTGGTTATTTTACATAGTATCGGAGCCTTATTTACTAAAAGGTCATAGGTTCGAAACTCAATGCCGTTCAGTTTTAAAAAATTAAGGCTTTGCGTGCAAGGCTCGAAAGGACTATGCCTGCACATGAGGAGTCGTGTTAGAATATAAAAACATTTCCTAATCCACAACCACAAGCTCGGGCTTTTGGTTGAGTTGGTTCCTTGACAGTTGATGCCATTGATATGCTTGGTATCCAACCACATGGCTCCACATTTAAAAGAATGTGTTACTACGACACAATGTACTAGTTATACAGAAGCGTACATCTTAATTCCTACAGAATAAGTTTACAAAGAGATTTTTTTTTAAACCGAGAAATATAATAGTGCACGTCTAGAGTAATAAAAATGATTGTTTAGCGCTTGGAATCAGACTACAAGAAACAACAACTATGGTAATTGAAAAGCATACTACTTCTCTCTGCGGATTTCTACTTCCTCTTTATCTGGTGTGGTGTCGTTCTTAAGTTAAATGTTTTGTAAATCATGTCTGGCTTTTTACCTTTGATCTGAGCCAAAGTCTGGCAAGTCAGATCCAGCAATGATTAGAAGATAATCAAAAGGTTGCGTACATTAAGAGGGTTAGAGCTTGAGATTCTCTGTCTTCGTCATTGGTACAAAAAATGATCAAATAAGGAAAGGAATAATCCCTTTCAAAAAAATGAGGTAATAGTCTGATACCAGCATGATTAGCATCTCAAATAGAACTCTAATCAATTTTGAATGTAGGATTCTCAGGTGCGAGCAGGGCAAACAGCCAAATGCGAGAATATACCTGGTAAACACAAATAGAATGTGCGTATTGGTGGAAGAAAACCCTAAATTAAAAACTCTAACGCCAGGTCGAAGAGAGTTGTTTGATCAACTTTCGTGAAGTCTGCGTCGAATGCCTCGCGGTCCTCATCGGGTGAAGAGGAGGCCGTAGGGCGGGAACAGAACCTTGTGAGCTTACCATGAATCTCTTGGGTGCGGAATTCATGCCCTCTCAATCTCAAGCTCGATTGATTTTTTTTAGGGATAACAATTTAAATTAGTGATAACAATTTTAATTTTGTTATTTTGTAGTGTCAAAAATAAATTATAATTAGAAAACTCAATATAATCCAAAACAATTCTATAAAATTTTAATTTCTCATTCAAATTTAATTTCGTCAATTCTGTTTACCGAATGGACTATAAGTGATGGTACTAAGGGATGCACAATTCGGTAAACCGATCGAACCGCACTGAAATCCAAATTTTGGTAGGTACCAAAACCGAATCAAACAATTTGGTTTAATATTTGATTTTTCCTTTTTCTAAATAAATTCGGTTTTTATCGAATACTAGAATTGTTAGTCCAAAATATTATTTTAAATGTTTTGAAGTTTGAATTCCAACCTTGAGTCCTAGCGAGTAGCGACTCATATAACGGTATATCTTATCTTATCCTTCCTATTATTCGCAATTCTAATTTCTAAAAAAAATACTTCATATCTAGTTAGATTTTTTCAGACTTGCTTGCTATTTCACTATTCATTCTTCAATTTTTTGTTTCATTTGTTCTAAAGATCAATCTATTGACCTCACTTCGTAAGACAATAGATTATAAGATGGTTGAAGATAAGACCTTTTTTAACATTTAATTTAATAGAATACTTGTTGTGCAAGTTTTATATATATATGCGTAGTTTATTTTATACCCGATTAATATTTATGAAGTTTTTGGTATTGACCATACCGAACTAATTTATTATGGGTCAATGTTTCTTCATACGTTAGCGTCCATGCTTGCTTTGTCTCATGACTCGTCAACCTTTCATGGGACACGACCTTCTTTTTATATTTTCGTGAGAAATTATGTTTCGGGAGCAATTTTAATGTTCTTAATAACGTTTTCTGAGACGAGTGTCGGACCGGGCGTTTCTGAAATTTGTTGAAAAACTTCCTAAGAATTATTGGTGCTACTCAAGGAATTACAAATGGGAAAAATTCATAATACATTTAAAAAGATTATTTAGAAGGATGCGAAAAATTTGTATATGAAATAGATAGAAAGTGTGAATATAAACAAAATGATGGATACAAAAGAATTTCCCTAAATTTGAATGGTAAGATAAAAGATTGCACTCTTAATTTTTGGATAGTGTCCTAAGATCTTCCGAAGTCCGAAACGTAGGAGGGAAAGGAGATACCAAAAAATTGAACTAAAGTTTTAAGGGGCATTATTGGTATTTTACCCTCCGCCCTACGCGGTAAGCCCCGCATCACATTTCTCGGGCGCATGGCCTATAAATACCCTCTCAAGCCTCCCCCCAATAGTTTACGATCCATTTAGCAGGCGGCTCGCTTTTCCCTTTCTTCGTTCTTGAGACCTCGAAACCCTAGCTCCTGGTTTCTTCAAAAGCTTTTCCTCGGAATTTCTACCGCGATTTTTAAGTCAAGGATTCTTCTAAACCTTTGTTCTGTTTTTCCGAAATCGAGATTTCCGATTAGTAATTTTTTTTTCTTAAAACAAACTTTTCTTTTTAAATCGAACTTCAAATCGATCCGATCTGAGGATGTCGAGGTGCTTTCCGTATCCTCCACCCGGCTATACGATTACAAGAAGCAATGAAGAAGCCGCCTTGATCGAATCGATTAAGGTTTGTTGAAAGAGCACCTAGATTTACATGTGTTTAATGCTCTTTGTATCGGCTGCTTTGTTGATGCTAATCGCCTTGTGCGGGCAACTGGGATTTGGATTTGGTGGGATTGGGAATTCGGGGAGGGTGTTGTACTGACTCATGTCCTGTGTGCGTAGGGTTTTGTGTACTTTGGGTTCCAGATTTGCATTAATGTATCCTGCATATACAGATGCTTAGGTTTAGGCCTTAGGGTTGTTTGAATTTGTGATGGAAAGAATTGAAATTCAACTTCTTGAGTTTGCATTGGCTAAGAAGTGGTTTCATCTATGACTTCCAATGATATTCTTGTGTTTCAATGCCAATACATCTCAGCCAGGTTGTTTTTTTGTCATGTGTCTTTGTTTTTAACTAAGACCAAAGCCATATCACTGGAAAGGGGTGGCTGTGAAACTCTTCTTTTGGCAGATTATCATTCGTGGGATAAACTCCATTGCCTAGGTTTTACTATGGACCCCCTTTCGACCAAGTTGTGTTTGGTAGGGCTTATCCTTAAGTATGGAGCAAATGGGAAGGAACCAAATGGGTTTTAAGCTCTATTTTCCTCCAACACTTGATTTTTTCATTTCAATTAAGAAATTAGTTTCTCAATATTAAATGAATCTTTTGGTGTACAAAGAAGAAATCCATTCCAATGAATTTCTGAAGAGTTGTGTAAGCAATAACCTCAATTTTACAAATGGGATGGACCGACTTTTTTTGTGCAAAACTGTCATTTATACTCAGTGACATTTAAGATCAACTAGTAATTGTTTTGTGTTGGGAATCTTAGGATACATTTTCTGTGCATTACCAATTTGTTTGTAAAAACTCCATGTTTTTGGGAGTATTCTTATGTTGAAACCATTGAAAAAAATCACTTGTTCATCCATCTATTTTCATTGGCTGCATTCAGTACACTTTTTTTTTGTGGTCATTACTCCAAGTCTCCAACCTAGCGTACCCCTTTCTTTGGCCTCATAAGATCCCATCCTTTTCACTTGTCTCTATGGTATGAGTGAGTTTGATTGGCCAGGAGTGTATAAGTGGAAAAATATTCTCAATATTTTTGAACACTGCATGTTACTTGTGATTGTGAAGAGTAATGAGGAGGAGCACTAAGCTTCGTATAAACATCCTGACAATGTTATTGAGGATCTTTATCTATATCCTTGTCATGCTGGATTTGATCCTCTTGCTCGAAATTCTAAATTTGTTGTCCTGGTTCCCTAAAGCTCCAAAAGGAGAGGGAGAAAGCCAAAAGAGAAAGAAAACAAGAGAAGAAGAGGGCAAAGAAGGAGAAGAGAAAAGAAAGGAAAGAGAAAGCAAAACAAAACTTGAGTGATGCTGCTCAGAAAAACGAAGCCCACAAGCAGAGTTCTGAGCTAAAAGGCGGAGACATAGGTGTTAAGAGGCCCTCTGAATCTGAGCAGCTCGAACGGAGCAATCTAACCGAGGAATTTGGCCATGCTGTTTGTTCAGAACACCCAAACCATTCAACTGACAGCACCCAAGACAGCAACAAAAGGAGAAGGATTTCTTCCCCACCAGATGTAACCCGCCCGCATGGTGTGTTTTCATCACTAATAAGTAGATAACTACAGCAATTCTATTTCAATCTTATGATGGGACTCACTTTTGTTTTTCATCTCTGTATTTAGGAAATGTGATTAGAATACGCTTGCCTTCACAGAAGCTCGTCAACAATGATTCTTCTTCAGCTCCCAATGAGCAGATGTGTTCAACATCTGGGAGGATTGATTTACCGTTGCAGCCCAAATGCGAAAGTACTTCCACTGCTGCTGCTGCTGGTACCACATTGTGGGCAGCACTAAAAGCTGTTGAGGAGAGCTTGCCATCTGCGCCGTACTCTCTAAAAACATGTCGAACTTTGCGGGTTTCCCAAAAAGATGTTGAGAAGAGCTTGCCTTCTACTCCTATAAACACATGTGCTTTGCGGGTAGTGAAAGAAGCTGTTGAGCAGAGGTTATCATCTGCAAGGGAGGAGACGCCAATGCAGAAAGAAGAAACGAGATACAGGGATTTGATAGAGAAATGGATTCCTCCAAGTTTGAACGACGACCTTGATAGCCTGGATCAGGACTGGCTGTTCAACGGAAAGCGAGATACATGTGTGAAGAAGCAACATCCCACATCCACTCCCAACATGCTGTGCAACGCCTCTGCATTATGGCCGCCACGTGCTCAGTTTTTGCCAGATGCCGAAATATATGCCTTGCCCTACACAATCCCTTATTGAATCCTTTGTACAAAAAAGGTTAGGCCTGTAATCCTATCCCACTTGATGTAAAAATTTTGTAGCCCCCCAGAAGAGAGGAATTGTATTCATCGTACGTAGTAGATGGTGTGCTTCTGCCAGCACGTGTTCTTAACGCCACTTATTTGAACATCCCAAACAGGTAGTAGGGAGGGAGCATTCTCTACATCTATCTTCTCCAGAATGGGGTGTGGATGATATTCTGCTGAGCATCATCAGCTGTCCATTTTTACACTAAAACAATGTATACTATCAAGTCCACTTATCAATAGTTAGATTCTTTTTTTTTCTTTTTTGAAAAATATTGGATGTTACTTGCTCTAAGAGGAATATTTTCTGTTCTAAGAGGAATATTTTCTGTTCATGAACTCTCTTATACTTTTGCCTACTAAAAAAGGCTAAAATGAGATGGGGATATTCTCTCTTTAACAAAAATGAACTCACATGTGGAAATATGTTGGCGTGGTAAAAGAGTCACTCTAAGCTTGAACAGATATTCTACTAATGAGTATGTGAGGTACTAAAAAAAGTGAATTCAGTTAAACATTGTCAGGGCAAAGGTCAGTTGTACACCAAATTTTGTATCCGATTTTATATTCCGAAAACATGTACCAATATCTTGTGCTAGTGTGATGGTTTATATTGATACAAAACGTTAGTGTAAATATTTTTTGTTGAACTAGCATTTTGTGTCAATGTGAACTGTGAAAATGTCCGTGTATCCCTTTGGAGTACAACTTGAACTATACTTTTTGGTCGCATGTTTGAATTTAAGTTTGTTAGCAAAACTCCATATAGTTCTAAGATGATGATGACAATAATAATAGGGTGAAGTGATGAGGAGTGTCTCTCCCAATGCAAGTCTTTGAACTCCAAGGAGCTATAGACTCTTTATCTTAGGGGCTGTTTGTTTCAGCCTCTTAATCGTTCAGATGTCTGAATGGTTCAGCACTTAATGATTTAGACTGTTTGTTTCAGCCTCTTAATGGTTCAGATGTCTGAATGGTTAAGAGATTTGCCTCTGAATGGTTAAGTATTATACAGAGTCTGAATGGTTAAGACCTCTTATCTGAATTGATCAGACATTTGCCTCTGAATAGTTAAGCAATATACTAGCTCTTAATGGTTCAGACCTCTTACTGGTTCAGCACTTAATGGTTCAGACCTCTTACTGGTTCAGCACTTACCTATTCAGAAGTTGCCAAACAGCCCCTTACTCTGTAGGAGTTGATCTTATTTCCCCTCTATAATTCAAAATTACAAGTGTTCCTGACCCTATGTGGTAAATATACTAGCTTTTGGTTTGTTTATGTTAATGAGATGATACATCTGTTGGCTTATGCTACTCATTCTGATGCAGGCATAAGAGAGTGGATTTGGTCATTATTATCAAGACAAATTTAACTTCTTCCTTGTCAAAAACATTTGGTTTGACTTAACTCAAAGTTTAAGAAAAATAAAAATATGTGTCTAAAAGTGATGCAGAAAAGATAAAAAATATTATGAGTCACCTAAGTTTTTCATAAAAGAAAAGATGGTGTCCTTTTTTGTCGTATCAATAGGAAATATGAGGTTTTTTTGAATAAATGAAGTTTATTACTCTCCTGTTTTCAGAAGGTTCTCATTTGACTTTTTAGGATAAAAATTGAAAAACTTTGAACATAAATTTTAAAAGAATATGTTAAATAATAATGCAAATTTAATACTCCATATCATTTAATCTCGCTCGAATGCAATTTTGAAACATCACATTTTTATTAAAATTTATTAACGTTTAAATATAGATATTAATGATCAAAATGTTAAATTAGAGATTGAAAAAATTATGAAAATCCACCTAAATGGCTAATTAGAAGTAATGGATTGAAGTTATACTGACATAGAATCTCCTACATTTTTTTATTACTAATAAATACGAGTGTTTGGAGTATGAATATCCCAACTTGACATTCTAAATTGGCGGTTAATGGTGTTTTGGCATTGTATACTCATAGTTTTTGACATCATAAGTCACATATTGATATAAAAGTATGGAGAGTTTTAGTTTAGAATATGAAACTTGTTTTAGTTTTTGTTTTAATAAGACTTGTTGTTGTTGTTGTTGTTATTTGTTCAAAAATAGACTCATTATTAAATTGTATGATAAAGGATGACTCACATTCTTGAGGCCCCCTACAGACTCAGCCGGACAGTATCTGAGTAATGATTTGGACTTTGATCACACTTTCTTCGTTTCTTAAAACAATTCTTCTTTCATTTTTTATTTTCTCTAAAACAATTCCATTGTTGTAAAAAATGACTTATATTTCTAAATTAAGTCATTACAATATACTTCATCCAATTTGCATTCTTATAATAAGTTGTTTAAATGATTTATCTCTTTTTTCTTCAATGATAAGTTATACTCCGTATTTAAAAGGTCAAACTACGCAATTACAACAACAACAACAACAACAACCCGGTTAAATCCCACAAGAGTAGGGTCTGGGGAGGGTGTGTGTACGCAAAACTTACCCCTACTCGAAAATAGAGAGAATGTTTCCAAAGAGACCTCCGGGCTCCGGCTCAACGTCAAAAGTTGCATTGTTTGACTAACTGCTACTTCATTAATTAAAGAAGCATAGACAGTTTAGAGATCCATTTTGATTTTTTCCATCACACCCAAAACCAAAAAGATGATGAAAAAAAACTACTCAAATAAATCCTTCTAAATCAAAAGAGGTATAATTTCAGGTAGGGAGTGTTAAGGAGTACTTAGTGAAGGCCTCGGCACTTGGAACGATTCTTTGCAAAAAAAAGCCGTTACATGTTCATTTCAGACGATAGCCTTCTGTCCTGCATTAAATTTCTGATCTTTTTCTTCTTCTCCTTCTTCTCCAGTCTGTTTATCGTGATGTAACTTGAATGATTGAATCTGATCTGTTGCCGATAAAACATTCTGTTTTTTTGCCACATTTTCTTTTCACAATTCTTAAATTCTCTTGCACAGGATGGTGATTTCATAAAGGTATTAATGTTCATCTTGTTCTATTCTTGTTTTTGCGTTATTTATTTGATGATCTTTTTTTCTCTTCAAACATGAAATGCGTTATTGTTTGCCATGTTTGGCAGAGAATCGGAAGAAGGTTCGAGGGATGGGTTTCATAAGCACTATAATGGGCCTTTTTGGGTTCGGATTTGGGATCACAATTGGTCTGGTTATCGGATACTTCTTGTTCATTTATGTCCAGCCCACAAATGTCAAGGTACATTTTCTGCATTTTGTGTTCTTTCATTTCATGGGTTTGAGCGTTTTTGCTATTTTTTCTGCTTTATTTTGGCATTTAATGCTGAATATGGTTATTGTTATGTTTAAAACAATTCAAAAAATGAATTTAACATTCATTTTCAGGAGCCCCATTTCCATCATCTCCGATGGAGCCAAAATTTCGCCAATTTTTGGCTTTGGGGTGTGATGGAATAAATCAAAATGAATCTCTAAACTGTCTGCACTTCTTTAATTAATGAAGTAGCAGTTAGTCAAGCAATGCAACTTTCGACGTTGAGCCGGGGGTCTCTTTGGAAACAGCCTCTCTACTTTCGAGTAGGGGCAAGGTCTGCGTACACACACCTTTCCCAGACCCTACTCTTTTGTTGTTGTTGTTGTTTCAGGAGCCCCATAAACGTCCCTTGGCAGAACAAGACTCTGATTGCCTTCAGAGACTCCTCCCAGAAATACCACTTTGGGTGAAAAATCCGGATTTCGACCGGGTATGAAATAACATTGGGATTTTATATTGACACTCTAATTGTTTCGGTTGATTTATTTTTTTATTTATTAAGGTTTTTATTGTCTTTTAGTGATAAATTTAGGATGTCATTAATAACTATGTTTGAGTGGCTCAAAAAAACAACCTTGGATTTAGTTAATGGATGAAGTGTATAAGCTTGGTAGGGTATAGAGTTTTTTTCTTCTTTTTTGAACCCCGAATCATAAATTTAATCTTTTGATTGAGTTGATTGCTTAATAAAGTATGAGAACTTTGTTGATCTAGAAATCACGAGTTTGAATCTTTCATGGGTGTATGGTCACACATATGAGTTTTTGGTCGAGTTGGTTTCAAAACGTTTAGGATGAAATTCCAACTGGTGCCAGTAAATGTGCAACATATTCTAACCATGACACTTTGTTGCTGTAAACTGAAACCGTATATGAATGCAGTTGGATTGGCTTAACAGATTTGTTGAAACCATGTGGCCATATTTGGACAAGGCATGTTTCTTTCTTTCGTTCTTTCCATCCCCACCAAAACTTTTTTTTCCATCAAGAGCTCAACTTGTTGATGGGTAAAAATTGTTTTCATCAGGCAATTTGCAAGACAGTGAAACAGATAGCAGATCCCATAATAGCTGAGCAAATTCCTAAGTTCAAAATTGATTCAGTGGATTTTGAAGAGCTTACACTAGGCACCCTACCACCTACTTTTCAAGGTTGAACATACTCTTTCTTCTCAAATATTCTATCTGTCCCAATATATTTGTTCAGCATTATTTTTTTGGATATTTCTATTGTATTTGTCCATTTTCCGTTTAAGGAAAAGAATTAAAGTGACATTGACTTATTTGTCCTCACTTGATACTCAATAACTCAAAAGTCAAAATTCCCTCTTACAAAGAGTAAATAAAAGTAAGGGCATAATGATTCCTCTTCATTTTTTCATTTTTCTTCATCCTTGTGTAAAAAAGAATTTGGACAAATACATTTGAACAAAAGTAAATTTCAAAATCTAGAGAACTAAAATAAGGGCATAATGATCCCCTTTCTTCCTTATTTTTTTATTTTCGATTCCCAGAAATACCCTTTACATTCTTCTTTATTATAATCATGTGATTCGGGTACTCATTGCAATGCAACATTTTGACACAAAATTTCTATATCCAAGTGGATAATTAAAAGCGAGTTAACATAATGAATGTTTTTGTGTATAGGAATGAAAGTGTTTTCTACTGACGAAAAGGAACTGATTATGGAACTAGCCTTAAAGTGGGCTGGTAATCCCAACATCCTTGTGGCCGTCAAAGCATTTGGGGTGAAAGTCACTGCTCAGGTACAACTGGCCCACTCAAAAGGAATTTTGTATTCCCTTCTATCCTAAATTAAATTCACATTTTCTAATAAATTCGTTTAAAATAAAAATTGCATTCTTTTATAAAAGAAATGTAGCTCATACTCCGTAGTATTTATCTTATCCAAACAAATTCTTACCATATATTTTTCACTTTTTGAAACACATTTTCTTAACTTTCGTGAATTCGAACCATGAATTTAATTTGCGGATGGTAAGGGGGGGGGGGGATGATTATTGATTATATGAATGA